TACTTGTGACCAGGTTTAGTCTTACTTGTGGACTTCTTCAGACACCTGTGGTACATGGGATTAAGCAAACCTGATATACATGTGGAATCTTATTCAAATATATATGTTATATACTTGGGATACCTGAGTTGAGCCAAGGTTTTTATCTTTATGCAATGGTTTGATAGATCCATGGTGCTTGAGAAGAATTGAGTCTTATACATGTGTTACAGTACTGCTTTGATTGTGCATTTCCCTTTCAGTAAAACCTTGTGGTTTTAAACATTTTCTGATAAAATTTGATGAACCAATCATAAATTTACAGGCTCTTTGTATGCATGTCTTATGCATTTCTTATGCACTTTTTAAAATTGCATAAGAAGTGCATAAGAAATGCATGTACTTTAAATCAAAGTGCATGTACTTCTTAAGCACTTTTATAAAGTGCATAAAAAGTGCGTCAAAAGTGCATAAGAAGTGCATAAGAAATGCATAAGAAACGCATAAGAAATGCAAAAGAAATGCAAAAAATAATTAGAAATATATCATTTTTCTACACTGGAAAAAACTTTTTTCAAGGATGATTCCTTATTTGCTACAGTTGGTCATGGCCCAAGATAGATCTGATATTATTTTCTTCCTACTTTTTTTTGTTTGTTTTGCTGTCTATAAATTTTCCCAGCTCAAAAAATCAAAGGTGACATGGTTTGAACCACGTCAAATGGACAAAGGTGATGCATCATCGTCATCCTGAGGCTTGTCACTAACCTGGAGAGACTGCAAAAAATAAAGCAGCCTTAGTTGGTTTCTGGAGGGTTTACTTCAAAAAAATAAGGCAACCTTAGTTTCATTTTTTGAAAGAAAACTCTAAACACAAAGATATTATTGAGATAGTATCACAAGTAGTCACAAGTCAGAGCAAAACCGGAGAAACTATTTTTATATCAATCTATTTTTCCCATGGATAGATTGACCAGGCCAGAGGTAAAACCTCATCTGTTGGGCAGCTAATCTATATCCAACAGTGGCTACATCAACATGAAATTCTCAAGTGAGGCACATGTAGTACAACAAATGCAACAGCCATGTTGCAAGCAAAACGCCATAGAAAAACAATGTTCGTCAAACTGAGAAACAATTACACCACAAGTACTCCACAAGTAACACTTTCAAAGATATAAATGCATAATTGTTTGAACAACTTCAGTTTGTCATTTTCTTGTGGTTTGTACTATTTGATATTTTCACAAGTGGAAGTTGTTGTTCAGCGCTGAGCTGAGCAGATATAAGTCAGCAACATGTGAAGTTTCATCTAGATATAAAATTTGAAACATAGCTGATTAGGAACTTAGCCATATTCAACGATTTTCGTTCAAAATCGTTGTTGCTGCGTTGTTTTTCCCAAAAAAACCGTCTGACTTGAAAACTATTGGTGCAACATTTATATGGATACGTCTCAAAATGAGGTGTCCGTTTTTGGTTCCAAAATGGCTCCTTTAAGGGAAAAAACGGACACCTCATTTTGAGACATCCCCATATGTAGAAATTACGTGTGAGGTCAAAACTAAACTAAACAGTTACATTCACATGTGGAAATTACTTGTGAGGTTAAAACTAAACCATAACACCTACATGTGAAAATCACTTGTGATGTTAAAACCGAAGAATAACACCTACATGTGATTTTTACCTGTGATATTGAAACCCCACAATAACACTTGCAGTTGAGAATTACTTGTGAGGTTCAAACTAAACAATGACACTATGTGGAAATAAACTGTGAGGTTAAAAGCAAACAATGTGGCTTACATGTGAAAATTACTTGTGAGGTGGAAGCCAAACAATGACTAGAAGTTATCAAATGCATTGTACATGTGATGACTTGCCTTCACCTCTATCTTATCTTTGTAATTATCTCTGGCTGTGGAAACAAAAGTGACTTAATACGATTTCGTCTCATAAGTATCCTACAGTCTCGAATAGTTTTGGAATCAAAATAATACCTTATAGAATTTAATACTTACCTTTGCACTAGCTTCAAGTCTTACAATTTGTTTTGAAATGACAACCGAAGGACCCACAATCTTTACATTTCAAGCTAAAACTCAAACTTTTAAAAACATCTTCTTGATTCCCACAAGTTTACTAAGAGTCTCGCAACCACCTGAAAAACATCACTGGTATCCTCACATGTCACAATATGTCACAATTAGTTTTTGAAAATTCACAATTATCGTAAAGACTCACAAGTAAAATTTTAGTTCCCAGCTATCAAAATTCTAACACTTTTGTTTGAAAAAAACAAGCAAACCAAAAAAATACTTGCTTAGTAAATTTTATTTACTTGGCTAGTAAATTTATTTACTTTGCTAGTAAATTTTACTAGGCTAGTAAATTGATAAATTTACTTTACTAGGTCCTAGTAAATTTTACTAGTAAATTTGAAAATTTAAGTAAATTAACGGGCTACTAAAACCATTCACGCGGGTAGAAACCCGCAATACGAAATGCATATGGGTGGGGTGGGGTGGGGTAATAACGTTCATGTTAACTTGCACACCGACGTCATGCTACGCTAGGGTGATCTTCTCTTGCGCTTGCACACACACACGTCATGCTACGCTATGGTGGGGTGGGGTGGGGTAATAACGTTCATGTTCACTTGCACACCGACGTCATGCTACGCTAGGGTGATCTTCTCTTGCGCTTGCACAGACACGTCATGCTACGCTATGGTGGGGTGGGGTGGGGTGGGTTGGATATATATACATATATATATATATATGAGATACGGTCAAAATAAGCGTAGATTACTTTAGTAAGGGAGGGTCCAATCGTGTTGAGAAAATGCACTAAACGATGTAAAGCGATAGGGCCCCTCCCAAAAAGCGATAACCTGTAACCATCTGTGGGCAAAATTGATGAAAATTCAACCTGCAGTGCCGGCGTTTCTTGCAGCTGCCATTTCATTTGCTGTCCAAGGTGATTGAGCCATTGCTTTCTGCAGGCAGATTGCTTTTTTCTTCCCAGGTCCCAAAGCAGTAGAATTAAACCACATTGAACGCAACCAAATTCTGAATTAAGCAAACAATAGATTAAACGCGTGCCCCTGGGTTCCCGGCCGTCCGGGCACCCCCATGGAACCGGCGCTCCTGACCCTCTCTGGGGTAGAGGTCGCCGGTGCGACAGACGGGGCCTTCGTCTCCTTGTCTGTCGCCTCTTGGCTTCGCCTCGGCGGCGAGGTTGCGCTCGCGCGCAACCCTCCTCGCGCCGAGGCCGGGGCCCCTGCCGCCTCCTCGGCTGCAGCGGAGGCCTCCCCCGCCGAGCCCGCCTCGGCCCCTTGCTACGAGCGCTCCAGCAGCTACTCCGACTGCTCGGAGCCGGCTGCGCAGCGTTCCCCTTCCCGCTCCCGCTCACCTCCTGCGCGCCTGCGTCCTCGCCCTCCTTCCCCCGCAAGCCCTCGGCGCTCCCGCTCTCCCGCCTTGCCACGTGAGCGGCGAGCGCCTTCACCTGCCCGCCCGCCGCGCCGCCGCGGCCGGCGAGGTGGCCACCGGGTGCGCGCCCGCCAACAGCGTGCTGCATCGCGCCCCCTCGGCGCCAGGCCTGCAGCCGGGCCGCCCCCTCCTCTCACTGCCTACTCCACACCCTTCACGGGCCTCGTGGTGACTGGCACGTCTTTTGCCCGCAGCCCCGCTGCGTCCCCATTCTCTTCTGCGCGCCCCGTGCCTGCTCAGCGCCGCCGCTGACAGGCACTGCTCTGCGGGCCTGGGCCTGCTCCTTTTCTCCATTTCTCCAGCGCTTCCGGAAGCGTGCCACCCAGTTTCAAGGGCTGCCCGGCGGCCATTTCTCTCTTCGGTCGGACAGCGACCGCAAACAAAAGCACACACCACCACAAAAAAAAAAACACACAAAAAAAAAACTGGCGGCTGCCTCGGCCTGGCGCTGCTGCCGCTGGGGGCCGCGCTGGCTGCTGCGTGGAGAGAGCTGCTGCCGCCTTCTTGTGCTGGCGGCCGACCTCCAGGTGCCTCGGCTGCATATAGCCGTGGGTGGGTGGGAACGCAGCCTCTTCGGCTCAAGCCTTTTTTTTAATTGGCGCCATTCCGGCTCACTACCCACCGTGCCATGGCCGCTCTTGGAGCAGCCGCCAACCCGCCAACCCCCCTCCGGTTTGCCCAACGTGCCTGGAGCCAATCCTCGAATTCGCTTCCTCGTGCCACGCCCGCGTCGCGTGGCCGGCTTGCGGACACCATTACCATCTAAGCTGTTTGGCCCGCATGAGGGCCCAGCTCGCGCATCCCGCTTGCGCCCTGTGCCGCCAGCCCTCGAATTCGCTTCCCCGCGCCACGCCCGCGTCGCGTGGCCGGCTTGCGGACACCATTACCATCTAAGCTGTTTGGCCCGCATGAGGGCCCAGCTCGCGCATCCCGCTTGCGCCCTGTGCCGCCAGCCCTGGCCTCCGGCCCAGGACGACCTTCTGTCCCATACCTGTAACCACATCGGGCTCAATCCCTTCATCGACTCGGAGGCGGAGGGCCGGCCACCGGCTCCCGCAGCTCCGCTCCCGACCCCTGCAGCCCCGCTGCCAGACAACCTTGCCCTACGTTTCGAAGCATGGCAGCAGCGAGGAGCCCCCAGCGAGCCAGTCACAAGCCCTACCAACAGCTGGCTCTACGTCCCCTTACTTTGGGCTGCAGCGGGCGCCCTGGCCCCAGCCGCTACCGAATCCTGGCAAGTCTACCCATGGTGGGGCGAGGCTCGAGAACATCTCGCCGCAGCAGCCGCCGTACCGCTGCCCCTCCTCCTTGAAGCCTTTCGCAGAACAGACGGCCCCTCGGCGCCCGCTGACTTGCGGCGCCTCGAAGCAGCAGCAGCATCGATCCCGGCCGCCTCCTTTGTCCACCTGGGGTGGGTCCTTCGAGCCCTGCAACAAGACCAGGGATACCTGTCTGCACCTGCGCAAGAAGTTGCCCTCCAATGTTTCGGCGGGGCCCACCTCGCCGCCGCTTTGGACCGGCAGTCTGATGCCCTCCGTGCCCGGCCGGGCCCAACCATTCCAGCCGCCCCCTCGCGTGCCAGTCGCCGTTCTGGTCGAGGCACAGGGCGAGGCCGCGCACGACCCCCTGCACCTGCAAGCCGACCAGCAGCCACACGCGCAGCCGGAGTAGCTATCCCCGTCCCTGCCAGCAGTGACAGCGAGCCTCCAGGCACGGATCTTCCCCCGCGACGGCCTGAACTCCTGGCCCCCGCCACGCCTGCCGCTGGCCCCGAGCACGTGCCGGCTTCGGCCTGGGAATGGCTCGACACCATAGACATCGCCGAAGAATTCGGCGCCCCCATCCGCACCTTCCAAAGTGCGCCACGATGCTTCGCCGGGGCGGCCCTTCGGGCATTCCGCATTTCTCTCAACGCCTTCCAAGGAACGCCGGCCTCTCCAGCCACCATCCACCGCGCCTGGAAACTGTTTTTGCTGACGCCTCGCCTCCTTTTTCATCGGCCGCCCGGGCCAGGCCGACTCGAACGAGGGGCGCTGTGCCAACGTGCTGACGACTTCCTGGCGGGACGCTGGCCGGCTTTGCTGACTTCCGCCCGCGCCTGCCGCGTTACTCGGCCGGCCCCCCCGTCCCCCACTACGGATGGGGACGAGGCTGCCACCCGGCGCCGCCTCCGGGCTTGCTCCCAAGTCCAATCCGGCGACTTGTCCCGCGCAAGGGCAACACTGACCAGCAGCCCCCTCGCCCCCGGTACAGCAGCCACCCTGGAGGCTCTCCGCGATCCGAATCGGCGCCCACCCACGCTGCGGCGGCCGATTCCTGAAGAGGTTCTCACCTCCTGCACGCCGGCCCCGGTACAGCTTTCTGCCCGGGAGCTCGCAGACTCTTTACGCACCGCAAAGCGCGGAGCAGCCCCGGGCCTTTCTGGCGCTACGGCTGAGCATTATAAGCTGCTCCTGGAGGACCCGGCTGCCTTCCAGCTTTTCGTTTCCCTTGCCAACGCTTTGGCCCAAGCCGACGCGCCTGCCGACATCCTTCAGGCTCTGTCCCTGGCCCGGCTAACAGCGCTGCAGAAGCCTGGAGGCGGCGTGCGCGGGATCGCTACCGGCGACGCGCTGCGCCGCCTCGTTTCGCGGACCTTGGCACGGCACTTCGCCGACGTCCTGGACCAGGCCACCAGGCCGTTCCAATTCGCACTCAAGGCCCGTGCCGGGACGGACGCCTTGGCCGGCCTCATTACGGCCGCTTTAGATTTGGACCCTGAATGCACGGTCGTCTCTTTGGACGGTCGCGCTGCGTACGACAGCATTTCCCGGGCGGCCTTCCTCTCCCAAGTCCGCTCTTCCGTCCCATCCCTGCTGCCGTTTGCCAAGGCCTTTTACGGCCAGACATCCACCTATTACTGGTGGGACGACGGGGGCACCCGCCACACCATAGCCCAGGGAGAAGGATGCGAGCAGGGGGACGCGTTAGCGCCGGCCTTGTTCGCCCTCGGACAGCATGCCGGCTTGCTTGCTGCTGCCACCCAACTCCAGCCCGGCGAAACGCTGGCCGCGTACCTCGACGACCTCTATATCCTCACATCGCCCGCGCGTGCGCGCACCTGCCTCGACGCCGTTTCCCGGGCCGTCCACGCCCATTCAGGCATCGCGGCGAACCTGGGCAAGACCCGGGTCTTCCACCGGGCAGGTGGCCCCCCACCACCAGGCATCAGAGACCTTGGCCCGGATGTCTGGTGTGGAGGCGAGCAGCCGCCAGACGAGTGCGGCTTCCTTGCCTTGGGCACCCCTATCGGCACGCCTGCTTATGTCCAAGCGGCCTCGGCAGACCGCATGCGTCGCCAAGCCGACTTCCTCCGCGAGCTCCCGCACCTGCCTGACTTGCAAGCCGCTTGGCTCCTGCTCACATACTGCGCCGCGCCCCGGGCCCAGCATCTGCTCCGTACTGTGCCCCCTACTCTGTCTGCCACGGCTGCGGCGGCGCACGACGAGGCCGTCTGGGAGACGCTGGCCCGGCTGCTTCAAGAGCCGGCCCCCACGGCCTTACCTCTTCCCTCCCGGACCCTGGCTTTCCTACCAGCGCGATTGGGCGGCCTAGGCCTCTATGCAGCTGCACGCTTAGCACCCGCTGCCTACTGGCGCTGACGCGTTGCCAGTCCTCCGACAACGCGTGCCGGCTCTTGCAGAGCGGCTTACCGCCATCCTCTCTACCGCTGCTGCCTCCGGGACAACGTGCCTCCACGAAGCAGCCGCGTGCGGGACACATCTCGATGCCCAAGGCTGGACCGCGCGACCTCCCTGGGACATCCTTCTCTCTGGTCCCCGCGCCCCGCCGCCCCTCGACGAAGCAGAGCCCGGCCTCTTTCGGCACGGCTGGCAACAACCCGCAGCGCTCGTCCTTCATACCGCACACAGAGCGCGCGAAGTGATGCCTACCCTCCCGGAAGCTGAGCAAGCTCTCCTCCGCTCCCAGTCGGGGCCCCACGCTGCAGCATGGCTCACCTTGCTGGTGCTCAGCTGGGAGCAAAAGAGTAAAGTGTTAACTTGCTGGTGCTCAGCTTTCATGCTTTATCTCCACAAGTGATCCAGAGAGACTTTCGAGCAGTGCTTTGCTACTAATGCATCAGGTTTGCATTGATCATTTCTTATTAATATTGATATTTTGGCTTAGGGGTCTTGGCCAGTGCAGCAGATTTTTTTGCTGTAAAAAAAAGATGTCTTGATACTTTTATCTTTTATCTCCACCTAAACTGTCAAAAGGCATTTGTATTGATCTTCATTTTGAAAATGCAAAGAAAAAATATATCCTAAATCAATTTTCCCGGTTTAAAATTTTAAGCAGGGCTGTGAACATGTACCACCATCCAGGTAGCCCGGAAGTTGAACATTGTTGTTGCTGAACATGGATATGTATGGGTATTGTTCTATCTATATATGTTCAACACCCGCAAAAAAACATTGCTGAACATGTGAACATTGTGTTTGTTGGTGCTGACAAGTACCATGAACATTGCTGGTGCTGAAAAAGTACCAGCATCCATGTAGCCCCTTTCTCATCCATGTAGTCCCTGAGTTTTAGGTAGCTGTTGGTGCTGCACAAGTACCATGAACCCTGTTGGTGCTGAAGAAGTACCAGCATCCATGCAGGCCCTCATTTTTGAAATGTTAGCTTTGCATAGGCCCTCTGGGTGATTTGTTTACGAAAAGCACGTTGTTGTTTTTTTTTGGGGGGGGACCGGGGGGGGTTGATATGTTTTGTTAATTTTTTCACACTGAAAAAGTATCAGTACCATCATCCATGGACACCACAAGATGGCCCTGCCCTGCAAAAAAAATGGGACATCTCTTCACTCAGAGAGTTGTACCAGGATCCTTAACTTGAGAATGGCCCAGCAAAAATTGAGATAGCTCTTCACTGAGAGAGTTATGCGAGGATCCATATCTTCAGATGGCCCTGCAAAAAAATGGGATACCTCTTCACTGAGAGAGTTGTACCAGGATCCTTATCTTGAGAATGGCCCAGCACAAGTTCTGAAAAATTATGTCAGGATCCATATCTTGAGATGGCCCTGCAAGAGTTACTTGAGATATAGGAACATAGATGGCGCTGCGAAAGTTACTTGATATAATAGGGACCCCACCACTCAAAGAGTTTTATCAGGATCCATGTAGCATTTTGGATCTAGTCAGAGATAGCTGAGAGAAGTTCATTTTGAAGACGTGTCAGAGTCTCAAAAAGGAGGGGGGGGGCAGGGCGTTGCAAAAAAGTCCATCTCGCCCTAGGCCAAGCTGATTGTTCTTCTTCAGGATCAGAGTCCTCCAAAGGCAGGGGGCCAAACGGGCACAGCTATGTTGAGTCAATGGTACTTTTGCAGCACCTTGATGCAACAATCTGGCATGGTGGTGCTTCTCCAGCGCCAGCCCAGGCATTGATGGGGCCAATCACTGTTGAAGAGGTGGCGCGCTGAGTGTCCAAGTGTGAGTGTTGGTGCTGTGTAAGTACCAGCTTTTACCTCCAGTGCTGAGTAAGTACCTGGATCCATCCATACACCTACAGATGACCTAAAATAATAAGATATACCTTATACGGTGCTGCGCAAGTACGTACAGGGACCTCATTTTTTGCAGTGTTCTTCACAATGTGGCACTTCTTCAGCGCCACAACATTACTGAACCAGATTCGTGCTTAATTTTAATGTGCCATGTTGCACATAATGTGAAACAATACCGTTTCGTTTGAACAAGTACCACCGTGGTGCTGAGAAAGTGGCACTAGCAATACAAGGGTGCTTCAAAGATGATTGCTTCAAATCAAGTTCAGCTGCACTTCAAAACTACATGTTTTCAAGGGTTTCTCATGTAACCCTGGCCTGCCATCAACGATCAGCATCGCTGTTCAGGAGGTCGTGGCCTTACTCGTCATGGAGGCAGGACCAATTGGGTTGGGGAGCATGAGCGGTTTCTTTTAGGACCATTGGGTGCTGAAAACATACCATGGTGGTGCTGCATCAGTACGATCTCCATGATTTTTTTCTTTATACATACATACATACATACATGCATGCATACATACATACATACATACATACATTACATACATGATCATACGTGCATACATACATACATGCATAGGAAATGTGGTGCTGCACAAGTACCACATGCATAGGAAATGTGGTGCTGCACAAGTACCACTTGTTTTGCTCATTCTTCTTCAGCACTGGTACTTATTCAGCACCTTCTTTCTGTTTCAGAGGTACTTCCCCAGCACCTGCTATGGAAACAACTCCAAGTTTCTTGACCCATCATGCTCGGGGCTCAGTTTACGCATAGATGATGGGCTTCAACCGAACGTTGGAACACAAGAACATCCGCACCAGAAGTTTTTGCATGTCATGTATGATCATTATTTGCCGACCGCCATCTCAAATTCGAGTATATACATCAAACTTAACTTGACTGTGCCTGCGCGTTGTGTGATTCCGTCCCTCCCAACATTTTCCCAGCGTTGCGCAGCAAGCGTGCAGCAGCTTCTCACACATGATGTGCGGCGCCGCACTTTACTTGGTGACACTGCGCTTGCGCTTGCCACTTGGAACACTTTTTCTTGTATGGGGCTGGACATCTTCCACTCGACGAGGGTTGCTCACTCCGATTGCGATCATCTTCTGGTTGTCTCCGTAAAACTTGTGGTAGACATCCTGGACGGATGTAGAATCAAGATGTTGATCATTGATGTATAAATTCATTCAGAAATGACGCATGTGAAGAAACTGCTGCAACTGATGGCTAATGACAATTCTCCTCAAGTAGCTAGCCAAAAGAATAGGAAAGAAAGCGCATAAAACTTAGTGTAGCTGGCGAGGCACACAGCAGTCAGTGAGATTGGCAAACCCCAAGGCAGCATGGCCCACATCGTCAACCATGATCTTCGCATTGTCATACTGGGTCAGTGACACCACTTCGCAATAGATGCGAGTACTTGTGCGCCAATGCATTGCCAGGGTCATTCCGACTTTCAAGCTCTTTATTTGTGATGCTCTTCTCGCTTCGATCACCTTGTCTCCACGTAGGATTGCCTCAGCATAGCATCTTTTGGTGAGAAGTGAGTAGTGCTGGGGTTCCTCCGACATGACGCAGCTGTGGGTCAGTCGAGTGGAGGCATACCAGCTTGAGCACAAATGTTATGTTTGGGCATGCGCGCATGTCAGCATGCACGCACGTGAGCTTGTGGATGTGCTTATTTCGGAGACTCGAGACTGGTACTTGTTCAGCACCACAACATCCTGGTACTTGTTCAGCACCACAACATCCTGCTGAAAAAAGTTCATGATTATCAGCCATATACATGAGAATGATATACGCACGCAAATTATCCGTATCTATTATGCAATATGTTCTGTTTTTTGCAGTTTTTGGAGAAATAGCTCAGTTTGACTTTGAAGTGTCATGCGCCACAAGAGACAGGGACTCAGAATCAGACACGCTCGGCGTAGTAGCCGCAGACCCAAGCCTAAGCGAGCCAAATTCATGATGCCTCCCTAAGCGAGACAAACCTCTTCCCGTTCCGGTACTTGCGCAGCACCATTCCAATAATTTCTATAAACTCGCATGGATTATGGATTATTGGCTCCAATGAGTGTGGGTCAAGTGCATTGTTCTTCTTCAGGATCAGAGTCCTGCAAAGGCAGGGGGCCAAACCGGTGCTGAGTAAGTACCTGGATCCATCCATACACACCTACACATTACTTGCTGGGTGCATTGTTCTTGTCTTGCAGGGTGCTGCACAAGTACCCTGGTTTTGTTGCTCCCGGTGCTGCGCAAGTACCTAAAGGGGCCTCATCTTTTGCAGTGTTTGTCTTGCAGGGTGCTGCACAAGTACCCTGCTTTTGTTGCTCCCGGTGCTGCGCAAGTACCTACAGGGGCCTCATTTTTTGCAGTGTTTGTCTTGCAGGGTGCTGCACAAGTACCCTGCTTTTGTTGCTCCCGGTGCTGCGCAAGTACCTACAGGGGCCTCATTTTTTGCAGTGTTTGTCTTGCAGGGTGCTGCACAAGTACCCTGCTTTTGTTGCTCCCGGTGCTGCGCAAGTACCTACAGGGCCTCATTTTTTGCAGTGTTTCACGCTTCTGTTTCCACCGGCGAAACGGAAGCCAAAACGGAAGCGACAATAGAAGCAAGAACGGAAGCCATTTTTGTGGTTGTGGTAGCCAGTCCCAGTAGACTTTTGTCAGGCTGCTCCTTGCGTGGTCAGCTCATGTTCTTTCGTGGTCAGCTCAGCTCTGCGTGGTCAGCTCATCATTTTTTTGAAGCGGTGCATCAATGCAACTCATGGCTTTTTCACAGCACTGTATTGTTGCCGCAGCCACTCAAATCACAGTGGAGGAAATTTATTAAATAAACATTACATGCGTATGAAGAAGAAGAAGTGACCAACCTAAATTACATAACATAAGACACATAGATAAAAATCACATTGGGCAGTTCACTCCGCTTTGACGATGTGGCCTCACGGTCACCTGCCCGCGCCGCAGACTATGCCACCACAGGTGCCACCACAGGTGCCACCACAGGTGCCACACTTGGTGCCGCAGCAGATGCCACCGCAGATGCCAGTGATGCCCCAGCAGGTGATGATGCCAGGGCACCACCAGCAGCCCATGCCCCAGCAGGTGGCACAGGGGCCAGGGGCTGAGGGGCCAAAGGCGCCACAGCAGGTGGCACAGGGGCCAGCCCAAAGGCCAAAGGCGCCACAGCAGGTGGCACAGGGGCCAGCCCAAAGGCCAAAGGTGCCACAGCAGGTGGCACAGGGGTCAGCCCAAAGCCAAAGGCCAAAGGCGCCACAGCAGGTGGCACAGGGGCCAGCCCAAAGGCCAAAGGCGCCACAGCAGGTGGCACAGGGGCCACCACCCAAAGCGCCAGAGACAATGCCAAAGGCAGTGTCACAGCCCAGTGCCAAGACAACTGCAAACGCAAAGGCGTTACAGCGGTCCTTCGACAACCTGACCGAAATGCAGAGCCGGGCCCATAATGCTGAGCTCAAGGTGAAAAAGCTCGAGCGGGACAACAATCGACTTCGAGGCCGGTATCTTGGGTGTTCGTTCATTCATGGTACTGTGTAAGTACCATGCAATAAGTATCATACCATGCAATAAGTATCATTCATGGTGCTGCATAAGTACCATGCAATAAGTATCATTCATGGTGCTGCATAAGTACCATGCAATAAGTATCATTCATGGTGCTGCATAAGTACCATGCAATAAGTATCATCCATGGTGCTGCTTAAATACCATGCAAGAAGTATCATTCATGGTGCTGCATAAGTACCATGCAATAAGTATTATTCATGGTGCTGCGTAAGTACCAGCAAGGCTTAACCTTGCGTTTTGTTCTGTGTCATACAGCAGGTTGCTTTAGTTCTGATTCAGGTGAGCTCAAAGCTGCGCAAGATCTCGTGGAATCAACCAAGAATGAGTACAAGCGGGAGTTCCACACGACATTGCAGATCCGAATGAACAATTTCGAGCAGCACTCAAAAGCAGAGAAGGAGAAGCTGCTGAAAGAGAGGGACGACCTGTCCAATCAACTGTCCGAATTGCAAGCGACGCTGCTCTATGAGCGTCAGCTCAGAGATGAAAACAAGACGCTGCAAGGTGGCAAGAAGCTGTTTGCCACAAATTTTGTTTTGAGCTTTCAACAGTGCAGGTCTGCACAGTGACTTGCACAGTGGCTCTGCATGGCAGGTGACACCACCGACAAAGTAAAGGAAGAAAGAGAAGATGGAAAAAGAAAAAAAAAGAAAAAAAGAAGAGGACACTCTTGCAGTGAAACGTCTAGAAGGGGAATGATGCAACATATAATGTTTCTTGTTGATAGGCCGCTCTCCGTCCACGTCATTGCCAGGCAAGGTGGTTGATGTTGGGACGCTGTTTGCCACAAATTTTGTTTTGACCTTTCAGCAGTGTAGGTGACTTGCATAGTGGCTCTGCATGGCAGGTCACGCCACCGACAAAGGAAAGGAAGTTGAAGAAAGAGAAGATGGAGAAAAGAAGAAAAAGAAAAAACGAGGCTCTTGCAGTGAAATGTCCAGAACAGGAATGATGCAACATATCATTTAATGTTTCATGTTGATAGGCCGCTCTCGATCCGTGTCATTGCCAGGCAAGGTGGTTGATGTTGGGGGAAGTTATGGTGCTGTGGTGGTCCAGTTGATGACATGCTGTGGTGACCCCCCTAGTTTGCATCATTTTCCAGCTGGGACGCACCTTTCCCAGAAGAAGTGAAACAAATCCTAGAAGAGCCACCTACTACGCCACCTACTACAAGACAAGGCCGGGCTGTTTCAATATGTTCGAAAGATTTTTATGTTGTTTCTGTTGAGAGGCCCACCGGGTACCGTGGCCAAGTCGAAGGCCAAGCAGAAGGAGCGGCATGACAATGAGTGAATGGCGACGGGCAAAAAAGATGGCAGCGCATCAAGCTTGCGAAAGTGCCAGATTGTTCTTCTGTGGGCTGGTGCTGGGCAAGTACCGCTGTAATACAACGTGTGTGCATCATTTCCTGCAGTTCCTTGACTTGCTTTTGCTGTGGTTTTGCTTACCAAGGTCGATGACTGCCGTGCAGTGCCTCCCCGCCGAGTCTTTCTTGTCTTTCAGACAAGGGAGGATAGCTTTTGTGATGTGGTGCTGTGGTGCTGAATAAGTACCATTATGCAAACAGTGCTGAAGAAGTACTGTGATTTGCTCTGTGTGTGTTGCTGTCTGGGTTTGTCTTTCTGGCCGTTATAGTATTCACATAGCCAGGTTGCAGCGAGGAGCACGAAAAGACTTCTTCAGATCTGTAACAATCTCGGCAGTACGACAAGACTTCTTCAGTTCTTTAGACGTGCTTGCAGTATGACGATTTCATCAGTGCATGTGTGGACTGCAGCCATTTTGGGCTGACCAGTGGTCAAATCTCCATCCGTCATATCAGTCTTACAGAACATATTTGATTATGGATTCTATGAGAGGAGATCCAGCCATTGAACCGTTTCAGTCAGAGTCAGATAGATCTTGGGTCTGGAACAGGCCAAATATCAATCCATCATATCAGTCTTACAGAACATATTTGATTATGGATTTTGCAAGAGGAGATCCAGCCATTGAACCGTTTTTCAGTCGGAGTCAGATTGACCTTATAGTTTGGGCTTGGGAAGCAGCTGCCATGATTCCTGGGTTTGCAACAAGGCTGGATGGATCCTCCACAGCAATGTCAAAGCCACCAAGGCTCTCTTCGTCCACAACAACACCCAAGGCCTTTTCATCGACAAAGACATGGGAGCCAACTACAGAGCAGCAATGGGAGCCAACTACAGAGCAGGTCGATCTTTGGAGGTTGTGGGAGAGGAATCGATGGAAGTGGGAAAAGCAAACCCAAATCCCTGTGCTAAATATGAGTTGGCTTTCGGTCTCTGATGAAGGTCGAGTTGGTTGTGTCATTTGCAAGATGACAAAGCAAGACAACGAGTACGGCAACTATGATGTGATCACAGGCAACTTCAGCAACATGAAGCGGCACTCGGAGTGCAAGCAGCACCAGCAAGCTTTGGCGCAGCTGGGGCTGATTGAGGTCACTGCGGACGAAGATGCTCCGAGCATGAGTGCGTTTGAGCAGGTGGCCAGGGGTCGAATGAAAGGCCCTTCAGCCCTCAGACATGGAGAAGCTGGTGTTGGTGGCCGCAAGAAGATCACTCATATGGTGCAGTGTTTGGGTGATGCAGTGTTTGAGTTGGACAGACGTTTCATAGCCACTGCTGAGACAATCACACTGCATACAGATGTCAGGCAACTCAAGCTCTTGGTTCGCTTTCGTGCTGCAAATCAGAAGCTGCAAATCCGACGAGGGATTTTGGGCATCAAGGATTTGGAGAGAGACTCGGCATCAACATGAGACTCTCAATGACCTTTTTTTTTGTTTTAACATGGGGTAGCCCCTCAGTTTTAGGTAGTTATTGGTGCTGCGCAAGTACCATGAACCATTCATCCAGGATACATCCAGTTCAACCCTGTTGGTGCTGAAAAAGTACCAGCATGCATGTAGCCCCACCCTCATCCATGTAGTCCCTCAGTTTTAAGTACTTGTTGGTGCTGCACAAGTACCATGAACCCTGTTGGTGCTGAAAAAGTACCAGAATCCATGTAGCTTATCACTTTTGAGACCCTCACCTAGCCTTATGTTTCTTATGTTTTGTTTTGGTGTTGAAATTGCTCAGGAACTACATCAACCGTGCTTGCAGCTGCACTGCAACAGATGCTCAGGGAATTCTGCCAGCAAGACGAGGACCTCTACAAAAGTGTTTTGAAGCACATTGAGGTGCTAGATGCGGATGCTGCCAGTGATGAGCAAACCAGTGCCAGAGAAATTCGAGCCATGTTGCTCAAAGACGTCAAAATTATCCTCAAGGACAAAGCACATGCATCTCGCAGGGTCCTCTCCAGGCCATGGAATGTGATTCCAGAGCTCTCTGAAGCATGGTCGATGTTTGTGGGAGACAGTTCCAGTGTGGTCCGCATGATCCAAAAATCGGGCGTCCTCTCTGTGAAGTTTCATGAGTTTTGCCAAACCATTGAATCAAGCCCAGTGTCTGCCAAGAGGATTCGCAACTTGTCCTTCAAGAAACAACGCTTTGACTCAGTGTCAAAGCCCTTGGGATGTGGAATTCTGTTTCTCGAAGCATTGTTCCAAACAGCTATTTGGGCAACCATTCACAGGAGAGGGGAAGAAGATGGCAAATGCGCGGATGCATTCCTTACATGGGTGAATGAAGAGAGGCTTATTCTGCTCGGAATGTGTGCAGATTGCGCAGATGCTGCCCTGGGCCTTGTTCGAAGCTTTGATAGCGAAGACCATGATCCGGCCGTGTTGCATTTGCAGGCTGAGCAGTTTCTGAGTGAGTTGCATTATCTCTTCAACCAAGGGGCGGTCCTCCGTGCAGAAGGCTACACCCAACACATCCTGGTGCAGCTGCATCAGGCCCGAGGATTTCTTTTGAAGGGCGAAGCAAAAAGTCTTGGAGGGCCTGGGAAGGTAAATCAAGTGATGCTGACTCAATGCCTGGTAAGCATGAGGGCATATGTTTCACTGGCGGTGGAAGTGGTGAACACGGAGTTTCCATACTTCGAGCTACTTGGGGCGTTCAAGTTGTTTGACGTGCAGCAAAGGGTGCAGGGACATGCTGTGGAGTTTGATGCTGACACTGTGAGAAAACATGGCTCTAGGCTTTGTCAAGTCTTTGGGTTGAATATTGATGCGTTTGTCAGCCAGTACTGGGACCATTTGCCCATTGCCATCAATGAAGCCAGAGCCCGCAAACTGGACAATCAAACTGCATGGTCTTCAGCTATCCAGAAGACATCCTGTAGATCCAGTGTCTCAAAGGCTTCTTGGTGATCACGCAGCATTTTTTCTGGTTGTGGGGAAGGTCGGTCGAAGATGTTTTTCTGGTGGTGGGGAAGGCCGGTCAAAGGAGTATGTATGACTGAGGCTCATCCGAGTGACACGCTTCGATTGGTCATCATGCGATATCTTGCCTTCCATGGTTGCTCGACTAGTGGTGTTGAGCAGAATTTCAGCAAGCTGCAGAATCAAATCACTCCTGCCAGAGACCACATGGATCCCGCAACCTACTTGGCAGAAGCCAAGGTGGTCATCGATTGCTCCGAAAATGATTTGAAAGAAGTTTGCAAGGTTGCGCAAGACTGTTGGCGCAAAGTCCATGGACCCCCGAGAAACTCTTGCTGCAACCGATTGGATGCAGGGATTCCAAGGAAAAGGCAACCTGAAAGTGAGGCGCAGTGGGTCAGAAAGCGCCGTCAGCATGTGGGTGAGAACGCGGCTCTGGTATCAAGGGATACAGTCACTCAGACTGATCTGCAGCCGATCTTTAGTTAGTTTTGGTTCTGAACAAGTACTGTACCTCTAAATCATAGCACTGAACAAATGCTTTTTGTCACTAGCCCACTTCAGATGATCTCAGGTGAAAGCTGCAAGTGAATGGCAGGAACAAGTGGATCGCACAGAGGAGGATCAGGCAAAGATTGATGCCGAGTTTGGTTTTCAGCGATCCAAGCAGATGAAGAACCAAATGGAGGCATACTTGGAACGGGTGCTTCTGGCAAATGAAGTACCCCCAGGATTGCGTGATCAAGTGGCACACTTCGTTTCAAACCAACAAAACAATTTGCAGAAGCGTAAGGCCGATGAAGCCCGAATGCTTCAGCTCATGAGCCCTCTCCCACCGGCGGTGGACTTTGCGTTCCACAAGTTCTTCTTGGAGAGAATGGAGTGGCAAAATTTGCCAAATTTTCCTCAGACTTTGACTTTGGTGGCTGACCCATGGCGTGCTGATGTTTGTGTCGTTGAAGATCCAGGAAGCCCTCCAGATGTGGTTTTGTGGAACACCGCGCTGAAGGGAGGGCATGTTGTGACATTGGATTTTGCCTTGAAGCGGGGCAAGGGCGTGTGCTTTAGCTATGGGATGGCCATTGCAACAAAGAGATCCATCTTTGTCGATCCGCAAGTTGCACAACATGACCCTGTTCTTTCAGAGGCAGTGAGGAGAGTGTCACACATGCCGCAATCTAAATGGAAGCTGCTTTCAACTTGGGCAGAGTTCGCTTCGGCCACTGACAAGGTTGCTGGTGAGCATTTACCTGTCAAACAGAGGCGAGACATGGAAATCCTGGCGTTGACTACTGAAACTGTAGCTAGTCACTTGAACCGCAAAAATGTGCTATCCAAAGAGCAATTCCTGAAGTCAACAGCCCGGGTGTCTTGTACCCAAAGAGGTATTTGTGGTATGTGAACTGAGTGCTTGCACATTGGGACATCTGTAGGGGAACGCAGAGTGACAAAAGATTGCCGCGTGGTGTCCTGGGCGCTGCAGAAGTGCCAGATGTTTCTCTAGTGCCATATCAGAGAGTAGCAGCTTCAAAACTTCTCTGGGTGCTGCACAAGTACCTTATTTTTTCCTGCCGGGTGCTGCACAAGTACCGGCTTTGTTGCTTATATATATATATATACTAATGTGATTTCAGGGAGACCGACCTATATTTTTTGAATCTTTTTACATGTTTCTGTTGTGCTGCCTAATGAGGCCATCATTGAATGTGATGCGCAGGGGCCTCAAGTTAAGAAGCTGTCTCAGTGATTCAGTACTCAGCAAAGTGTGATTGCCACGGTGCTGTACAAGTACCTTTGATGACATATATCAGAGATGCCATGCTCAGTGTATCTCAGTGTATTGTCTTAAGCAAGCTGGTGAGATAGGCCATGCAAAACTCAACATTCGAAAACCCACCCCTAGTGACAGTGTCATCTGTTCCAAGGTTGATCACGGTGATGATCCGGTCGATTCCTGAACTCAATCCGGTCGATTCCTGAGCTATTTTGGGTGCTATGTTGGGGGCTATTACAGGTAGATGTGCTTGAGCCTTCATGGACTGTGCCTTACATGAAATCAAGGTGCTGTGCAAGTACCTTTCGGTTCTGAGATTACTGTACACACTCTGAGATTTTTTTGGCCCACAGTCTCGGAGACCATGGCGTTGCACCTCGCCCTTGTGTTCCACTGGCGGCATCACCAGACGAACCGGCGAGAGGAGTACTTGCTGGTGGACATCAGCACCGGCAAGCTGATGTTCAGGAGACGCACAAAGGGTGGGCGCTTGGCATGGTCTCCTGCGCATGGCTCGTATCGAATTCAACAGTTTGAGGAAGACAATGCCAATGGCAATCGTGTCAGTCTGTTCCTACAAGGCTTCCACTGCACGGGATACCGCCCGTACTGGCGAGATCACATGTTCATTGGAAATGGCCAAAGTTTCTTGCACTTAGGGTGGGCAGTGAAGCTTTCAGGTTTGTTTTGAGTTCAGCTTCTTGTAACATGTGCTGTTTCACCTTGCACTTAGGGTGGGCAGTGAAGCTTTCAGGTTTGTTTTGAGTTCAGCTTCTTGTAACATGTACTGTTTCGCCCATTGTCTGTGAAATTCTCATTGTCCAGCGCATCAAAACTTAGGCTTAACAGACACAATTGGCCGTCGAACTCTGACGTTGAAGGGCATGTTCGAGATCAACATGGCAACGAGCCTGGAGGATGAGAATGAGTGGGTCCTGGTCAGAGAGATGGACTGGGTCATGGTCATGGACGAGAACATCCCGCGGCTGCCAGATGCAGAAGCACCTGGCCATCTTGCCCATGGGACGATCCCTGAGACCTTGGACCCGCCCCCAGGAGCTGTTCTCCCAGGAGAAAATGGCAGAGACGGAGGAGCTGTTCTCCCAGGAGAAATCGGCGGAGCTGGAGGAGCTGGAGGGTCGTC